CTCCAGTTTCCTCCCACAGACAAAAAACATGCATGTTAGGCTGATTGGTAACTCTAAATTGTCCCTAGGTGTGAGAGAGAGAGTGAATGGTTGTTTGTCTCGTTTGTCTCTATGTGTCCCTGTGATGGACTTGTTACCTGTCCAGGGTGTACCCCGCCCCTCGCACAGTGATTGCTGGACATGGGCACCGGCAACCCCCATCACCCAAAATGGAAGAAACGGGTAAAAGATAATGGATTCATGGATGGATATACAGGAGAGTGATGTACAGGTTTACAAAAAAGCCTTCTCCTCAATCACTATGAATTATTTTCATGAAGTTGGCTCAGTGGTAGAGCTGCTGCCTCTCAGTAAGAAGGCTACCGGTTCAAATCCTGGCCTGGGATCTTTCTGTGTGGAGTTTGCATGTTCTCGCAGTGCATGCCTGGGCTTTCTCCAGGTATCCCAGTTTCCTCCCACAGACCAAAAACATGCATGTTAGGCTGATTGGTAACTCTAAATTGTCCCTAGGTGTGAGTGAGAGTGAATGGTTTGTCCAGGGTGTCCCTTGCTTCTCGCATAGTGATAGCTAGACATGGGCACCGGCGGCACCGGCGACCCGAAAAGGAAAAAGCGGGTACAGATAATGGATGAATGGAAGTTGTTTGAAGATGGCAAAGGGGAGTGGTGGGGCAGAGTTTAAAGAAGTGAACTTCAGAAAGATGTCGGTAACATCAAAATGTGGATGGAAAAGGTGAAGCACCCACATCTGCCTCCACTCTCTTTTATTCCCCACTCTGGACCCTTGAGCAAGACCCTTAAAGACATAAACTGGGCTATAGACTCGTGTGTTACAGGTGCATGTATATCTGAAGGGCAATCTGGTTTGTTTGACAGGGTTCTGAAAATAGACTAATTTATAAAATCTGATTTTTTTTTTAACTTTTTTTTTTTCCCCAATTCACCGTTTACTGACTAATTGACACACAGTTCGTCTTTAAACAAGTTAAATATTGTAAGGATGTATCCCTCTGTCAGTCTCACTGTGTCTGTACTCCCTAGTGTCTCTCAGTAATTACCCCAATCAGCTCCACCCGCGTGTCCTCCAGGTATTTGTATTTTGTCTCATCTAGTCTGTGTGTATATAAGCTCTGGTCTGTGTCTCAGTCATTGTCGGTGCATCGTCTGGTACAGCCCCTGGTTTGTCTCCTGTGTTCTGTGTATATTTCTGACCTGATCCTGTCTGTGAGTTTTGCTGCCACGTCAGCTATTTATTTTTGATTATTAAAGTGATTATTATTTTACGTCCTGGCCTCTGTGTCCTGTCTGCACATGGGTTCGTTCTTGTTCAGCTCAGCCTGAAAATCCTGACAAATATACTATCAATTAGTTAAAATATGTTTATCTCAGTGGGCTACAACAAACCAATTATATCTTATTTACAAACTGGATTCCAATAAAGTTGGGACACTAAACAAATTGTGAATAAAAACTGAATGCAATGATGTGGAGATGGCAAATGTCAATATTTTATTCGTAATATAACATAGATGACAGATCAAAAGTTTAATCTGAGTAAATGTAACATTTCAAAGGAAAAATATGTTGATTCAAAATTTCAGTGTCAACAAATCCCAAAAAAGTTGGGACAAGTAGCAATAAGTGGCTGGAAAAAGGAAATTGAGCATATAACGAACAGCTGGAAGACCAATTAACATTAATTAGGTCAATTGACAACATGATTGGGTATAAAAAAAGCTTCTCAGAGTGTCAGTGTCTCTCAAACCAAGTCGGTAAGAGGATCACCAATTCCACCATTGTTGCGCAGAAAGATAGTGCAGCAATACCAGAATGGTGTTACCCAGCGTAAAATATCAAAGACTTTTAAGTTATCATCATCAACTGTGCATAACATCATCAAAAGATTCAGAGAATCTGGAACAATCGCTGTGCGTAAGGGTCAAGGCCGTAACACTCTACTGGATGCTCGTGATATCCGGGCCCTTAAACGTCACTGCACCTCAAACAGGAATGCCACTGTCAAGGAAATAACAGAATGGGCTCAGGAATACTTCCAGAAAGCATTGTCAGTGAACACAATCCACCGTGCCATCCGCCGTTGCCAGCTGAAACTCTACAGTGCCAAGAGGAAGCCAATTCTAAGCAAGCTCCACAAGCTCAGACGTTTGCACTGGGCCAGGGGTCATTAAAAATGGAGTGTGGCAAAATGGAAGACTGTTCTGTGATCAGATGAGTCACGATTTGAAGTTCTTTATGGAACACTGGGATGCCATGTCCTCCGGACCAGAGAGGACAAGGATAGCCCAAGTTGTTATCAACGCTCCATTCAGAAGCCTGCATTGCTGATGATATGGGGTTGCATGAGCGCTTGTGGCATGGGCAGCTTGCATGTCTGGAAAGGAACCATTAATGCAGAGAACTATGTTCAGGTTCTAGAACAACATATGCTCCCATCTAGATGTCCTCTCTTTCAGGGAAGACCCTGCATTTTTCAACACGATAATGCCAGACCACATTCTGCAGCAATCACAACATCATGGCTACGTAGGAGAAAGATCCGGGTACTGAAATGGCCAGCCTGCAGTCCTGATCTTTCACCTATAGAGAACATTCGGCGCATCATAAAGAGGAAGGTGCGACAAAGAAGGCCCAAGACGATTGAACAGTCAGAGGCCTGTATTAGACATGAATGAATGAATTGACATGAATGGGAGAGCATTCCTATTTCTAAACTTGAGAAACTGGTCTCCTCTGTCCCCAGACATCTGTTGAGTGTTGTAAGAAGAAGGGGGGATGTCACACAGTAGTAAAAATGGACTTGTCCCAACTTTTTTGGGATTTGTTGACGCCATGAAATTTGGAAACAACAGATTTTTCCCTTAAAATGATACATTCTCTCAGTTTAAACTCTTGATCTGTGATTTGTGTTCTATTCTGAATAAAATATTAGATGTTGGCATCTCCACATCATTGCATTCAATTTTTATTCACAATTTGTTTAGTGTCCCAACTTTTTTTTCATCCGGTTTGTATGAAAAATGAAGACATGTTACCACTTTATGTATTAACTACATACAGGAACTGAATACTTCTTCCACCACTGTATTCAATACAGCCCTGACTGGAAGTAGCAAGGCATAACGAGAAGATTAATTTCAGTAACAGATTATAAAACTTTGCTAAATAACCCGAGTTATTTTTTTATTTGCTCCTGAAAACTCAAGTTCCTCTCTGCACAAAAAGTCAAATTACTGCACATTTCTGAACCCACTTATTCATTTTACGGTAACGCATAGCACAAAAAGTGAAAGAGAGATGTGAAACACTGAATTCACACCATCACTCAGCCTTTTCAAGTTACAGATTTACTAAGTTACTTCCTGTTGGGGCTATGTGGGTTGTCTGCAAGCTGCAGTGAACAGTCAGGACTCTGCTCTTGGTTTTGGTTTCTGCCATTATCACTGACGTGTGTTTCCCCTTTTTGATCATGTTTCAAGCAGAAACAGCATCAAAAAACATTTTAATCGATGAAACAAATACATTCAGGTTTTTTTTTCTCGCCTAATATGATATCAACCTCTGTAAAGTTGTCTACAGTCTTGTTAAAAATTTTCTTTTAAATAATGTATTTTATAAATGGGCTCTGAGCGGGGTTAGAGGCAAAATGATCTATTGTTTAACACCCGGACTGCTGCGTGTTTTACAGTAATAGCACTGCTTTGCAGAAGTTCCCCATACCACAGTATACTACCTTTTTATGGCTTTGCAAATGTTCCTAATTCAAATTTAAGTGTTGATTTGTTAAACTTCAAAGTAATATTTTAACTTTAAAGTTTCACAAGACTGATGAGGCTAGTACTTACTAAAAAGGTTTTGTTCTTGTCTGTTTTTATGCTGAAGTTTTTATTTGCAATTTATGAGTGCAGCAAAAAAAAAACTGTAGTCCTTGATTATGGTTTCTAGAGGTTTTCACAACCAGTTTTTAATTTAGTACCATGTAGCTCAAGCATTTCACTACTTGTCTATTGTGTCCTATTCCACTGGCTATAAAACAATGACTGACAAAAAAAGAGATTATAAAGTATTTTAAAAATGACAGCAGTTTCAACAATTGTTGGATAAAAAGCTGTAAGAGGTAACAGAAGCTGCTGTTTGTAAATCTACATTTTAGGTTCGCTACTGTCTTCGAAGTTCATTTAAAGACAAGTTTCTGGGACGTTTAATGTTTTAGTTCCAGAGCATGGCAATGACGCAAAAGTACATCATGAAAACACTCCGGCCCAAATTCACCGTTGTGTTCGATCTGCTTCAATTTAGCTCCAAAAGCTGCTCCTGTTGTTTCCTCTCTCCCATCTTCCATCCATCCATTAACTTTACCCGCTTCTTCCTTTCTGGGTTGCGGCGGTTGCAGGTGCCCATGTCCAGCAGTCCCTGTGCGAGTGATGAGGGACACCCTGGACAGGTCTCCAGTCCATCACAGGGACACATAACGAGACAATCAATCACTCTCTCACTCACACCTATGGACAATTTAGAGTTACCAGTCAGTCTAACATGTATGTTTTTGGTCTGTGGGAGGAAACCGGAGTACCCGAAGAAAACTCACGCATGCACAGAGAGAACATACAAACTCCACCCAGAAAGGTCCCCGGCCGGGATTTGAACAGGAGCGACCTGCTCGCTGAGAGGCGGCAGCTCTACCAACTGCGCCACCGTGCTGCCCCTCTCCCAGCTTCATTTGTTTCAAAATAAAAAGCTCTAATTATTGTATATGGCAATGCAAACACGTCCATCAAGTTCAGCATGTGTGAACAAAAAAATGACTTTACGTTCCATCTTGTAATGGTTGGGAATAACTGCTGGTAATAAGTAATGCAATCAGACAGCTTTATTTAAACGAATGTAAAACTGAAACAATAAATTTTTATTCATTTCTTTGACAGTTTTTTTTATTTTGTAGTCGATCCAATCATGTCTGACACTCATCACTGGAAGAGAGGATTAGTAATAATTTTACTGATAACCATGCACCACTCATTTTATGAAAGCAGCCGTACTGCAGACTGCTGAAAGTCGTCACTTTCAACCCCACAGATATGTAAAACAAACAAGGAACAAATGAGAAAGTAATCATTTATCACTAAATGCAAGTTGTAAACTGGTCTGAGTGTCGAGAATATGATGTTTATTGCCCTGGTGCTTACTTCTATTAATATAGGAGGGTTTTCTTCTAAACACCTTCATAATACCCCATTGGACAAACTGCACTGTTGCAGAGAGATATGTGCCAAGACAGATACACAAACGTCACTTTTTGAGGGATTAGTGATTAATTATGAGCAAAAGGAGTCAGCGGGTGACACAAATTCAATGAATTAATCTGATATCACACACAGGAACAAAAGTGAAAGAAACTGGGTTTGCTGGAACAAAGTAGTAAAGCTGATTTATGGGCAAAGGTTGTCATCTCAAACACCCTAATGAACCTATACTTCTGTTTGTGTTTTGTTTTTTGATTAACAGACAGAGACAGAGGAGTCTTACCTTTGCAAAGTCCCGCACATCAAACAGCTCGAATGCCTCAAACAGGTCGTTCTTCCTGAGATGAAACCTCTCTTGACAAACTCCCAAAAACGTTCGGATGTTCTTCAGGCACAGGAACTAAAAACACACAAAGCCACAGCTGCTCTTTTAACACTAGCAACTGTACTTGGGAGAATCTGTTCTTTTATTTACGTGACTCATAATCTGCAGCTTATTCTATTCAGCTGTCAAGTGAAAGCTGTAAGTCAGACACATAAGGATCCGATCAACAGGACTTCTGCCCAACAATAGTCACAATACTCAGTTTGAACTCAGTTCATTATGTTTTTGAACAAAAGTTATTCACATTAATGAACAATATCAGTCTGCATTCACTCAAGTGTATGTGACATGTTTTATTTCAGAAAAATAATAAGACCCCCCCACCACCAAAAAAAAAGAAACAAATAAAATCATGATTAAAACACAAAGTGTTGGCTGGTCATTGCCTTGTGGTTGCACGATTCTGCTTTCATGTATTTTTATTAGGAGACAGATGTGAATTGCAGGAATAGTCTTTCACAAACTATGTTTTTTGTATTACCCCGGTACTTCCTCTTTGCATATTATATATAAAATTGCTTTCAGCAAACTGTGAGTAATAGCAGTTTTTACACTCTTGAGCCTGTTATGGTATGAAGTCTATGCTGATATGGTGGTCGATGGTAACCTGGGGCTCAATGAGCCCTGTATAAAAAATAGTTGAATGAATAGATAAATAAATAAATGCTAAATGGATGGTAAATGGACTGTACTTGTATAGCGCCTTTCTATCTTATCAAGATACTCATGGCTCTTTACACTACAATCTGTGACCTCATTTACCAATTCATACAGCACTCTACTAGATCTATACATAGATTAATTAGTGCTTCAAAATATATGCAGTGCTACTGATCATGGTGGGAGGACAATTGTTCATGTAGTGCTGTCTGAGGGCTTGAAGATCCATATCTGATAGTGGTTTCCAGACTAGGCCTTTGTGCTAATTTATAATTAACTTTCAATGTACACGGTTTGTATTACAGTGTATGCCTTTGCCACGCAAAGTAGTGGTGTAGTCAGCTGAGATGATGATCGATGGATGATTCCTTGAATTGAAGTGGGCCACAGCTGCGTGCATGTTGTAATATCTCCACACAATCTTGGCATTATAATAATGCAGTTTGGCCACAATAACTCTTGGTTTATCATCCGATCTCTGTCTGTCTGGCGTCTGGTGCGAGCGGTTGATCAACAGTGGCTTGTTCAGTTTCAGCACCTCCATTAACATCTTAGCTATCTCTGCGGGGGTGCTCGACTCTGGCGATTCAGGAACGCCTCCTAATGTTACTTCTTCTCATATAACCCTCCATAGTCTCAAACCTCCTCTTCACTCCATCCACCTCGTTCCTCAGTTCTGCCACGGTATCGCGCAGAACTTCCACTTCGTCTTTGTAGGAGTTGTAGTTTTGTCCCTGGTGTCGTGTTTATGTCTGCGTTCCCCTGAACCTCTGTTTCTATCTTTATAGGGTTTGTGTTTTTTTAGTATCTAGTTCCATCTTGTGTCGTGTTTATGTCTTGCATCCCCTGTCTCTTTCTTTGGCATCTGTGATTACTCACAGGTGCCTTCACTTTGTCTAATTGGTGTTTCCTGTATTTAAGTCTGTGTCTCTGTGTTAGTCATTGTCCTGGCATTGTCTTCTGTCCACTGTTGATGACATGTCTATTTTGTGAGTACATCCTGATCATTCTGTGTTTGTTTTGCTGCCCAGTCAGCTCTTTGTTTCGTTAATAAGTTCTTAATTGTACATATACAGGTATATCCTGACTCCTTGTCTGCCTGCCTACACCATTGGGTTCACCAGCATCAGCCTTTTTATGACAGTGTGAGCAGTTAAATACCCTGTTTTCAGCTTCCTTCACTCTCAGCCTCACCTGGTCAGTTTCTGCTCTGAGGGCCATGATGCTTTAACGACCTCAACCCTCACCGTTTTGAGCTCGCCCTTAATAAATTTAAAATCCTCTGTCAGAGCAGGCTTCATCTCCAACCTAACTATCACCAAAAATTAATTTTTTGTTGAAGTCAGAATGTCAGGGCCGACTCGATAGTCTCTCTAGAGCCCGGCGAGGTCTGAGCCGATTCTCTTGTTCCAGAAGCACCGTGGTTTGAGACTGTGTTAGGCCCAGCGGTCACAGAGTCCCGCAGCCTTCGATTTCTTGAATTTGGAGGTCATATAGCAACTCTGAGTCAATCTTGCGACAATGCTGATCTCAGAAGAATCCAAACAGAGGCAGCAAGAATATTATTATAAAAGGCAGTTTTTTAAAAACTTTACTAATGGGAGTAGAACGTGACATCATCTTGAATCATCTTGTTTTACAGTATATGGACTGTATTTGTTGGAAGACTAAAGCTCTTTTCAACAATGATTCTCGGAAGGAGTTTGAGACAAAGTGATGAGCCATGATCCTTCATGGCTCAGCAAGACTAAACCTTTGGTAGATGCTGTTTTACACCTGTGACACATCCACTGGCCTATAGCTAACTGGTTAATAATTAATAGTTATTAGTCAAAACTTCACTATATTTCTTTAATTTTTTTACAACTCATTTTAGCCTCACAACACACTTTTTTTTGTCTGTAATGCTAACATCAAATGTTTAAATGTGTTTATAATTCCATAACACAATCAGTGAAAATGCAGAAATACGTTTTTGTGGTGACTGTCAAGTAAAAATGAAAATTAATTAACAATTTACATTCAACCTTTATTTATACAGGTTAATCCCATTGAGCCTCGCAGACACATTTATAAGAGAGACCTGATTTTACCGAAGAGTGATGACAATAGTGGACAACAAAGGCAACAATAGACAATCATAAAGGTGCGTACAAATTGAGATTTTTTTTTAACAAGTGAAAGTAAAAGGGTATTTAAAAGAAAACGTAATCAAAAACCCCAGCTATAATGAACAATTTACACATCTACTGACTGTATTTTCTAATCTTTGTAAACTTTTCCAAAACTAGCGTTTCATAATAGGCAGTGAACTGGATAAACCACATTACGATGAACATAAATTTCAGGAATTAGTCTGATGTTAAAAAGGGAAATCCACTGCTTTTTAAAGCTAGAAGACAATAAAAGGAACCACACAAAGTACAGTGTAAGGAACATGGCGGTCAAACATTTGCTGCATTATGTAATTTCCCCGAGTTAGCTTCTACATTTTAGCTTTTCTTTTGCTCTGTTGGTCCATTTCCTGCTCCTTCTGTCTGACTGCCTGCTTCTGTTTGTCTGTCTATTTGCTTGCTTAGCAATGTTAAATGCAGAACTCTAATTTAAGAAAAGAGGAAACGCTAAGTTCTGGCTGATACTGCTGCACACGTCAAACCCTACCAGAGTTTATATCAGCGCAGTGCGGTTACACTTGTTCTCACTGCTCAACTCCCAGTGTGGTAATCCTTGTCACAAGAGCCAGGGATTATCCTCAATTTGTGTAACACCATCAGGTGAATAAGTGTGTTTGAGTACACATCAGAGTGGTCCATGTCTTCAGCTAATCTGTGGATATTTCCTAACCACAGATGACCTCACAGGATTTCCCAGTTTCACATACACACGCTTAGTCATAGTATCTATCTACTGAACACATACACACACATGCACGCGTGTTTAAGACACTGCATTTAATTCTTCTTCATACTTTGAACTAAAATACAAATTGGCCTTTCTGTCTTGCTCTTCCTGAGTCATCTCATATCTGTCCATCTTCTAAGTTTCTCTGCTAACTTACAGCCCCAAGTGTTAGCATGTTTTCACTACGTTTATTTCCCTTCTCGATTAGAATAAAATCCTACTAAACTTCAAAAGTGCAAGACCAAAAATGGGTGTGTATGGTTTAACATCCTTGTTTTTCATATGTTAACATTTTAGACATTTTAATGTTTATATTAGAAAAATCAAATGTAGGCTACTGCTAAGCTATCAGCTTAGTTTACAGTGAGTTACTCTTGTTTCACACACACACACACACATACAAAAATATTATTATTAGTAATAAAAAAACAGCACCTAAAATTTAAATATATATTTTTACAAATTTGATCATGAAAGTTAATCAAAACAGTAGTCATTATCAGGGGTGGAAGTAACAAATTACAAATACTCACATTACTGTAATTAAGAAGATTTTTAGGGTACTTGTACTTTTATGAGTATTTCTTTCAAGTGTGTGATTTAACTCATACTTAAGTACAATTTAGACCATGTAATCTACTTCACTACTTTTAAAATCAGAAGTCGCTACTGAGTACGGCCTCAAATTGAATTAATATTCAAATCGTTCATCTGCATCTTTGTAGCCAATAAGGCTCTCAGATCATGAACGCACTAGTTACATATGATGTAAGCAAAGGACAACTCCGTAGAGTAGAGAGTCATTTATGGACTGAAGATTTGGAGAAAAAACCAAAATGGACACAGAGGACAACACCGTCAACAGAGAAAATGAAGTAAAGGTTGAGGACGAGTGCCCGTGGCCGTACCTGGAGGAATGTTTCATGTACACAGGGAGAAAAGGAGACAAGGACCAGATGCAAACTGTGTTTGATCTCTACAGTGATAGCAGCTCACAAGACTTCAGCCTCTAATCTCAAAAAACATATTACGAGGTTTTACAGCTACCTGTTTGATATTGCTGTTTTATTGTTTGTATGTGTGGGTTATTAGTTTGGTTAAGTATGCAAAGATCTTAGATATTGTCACTGCCATCGGTTTGCCTGGTACTAAAATAAGACGGAGCTTCTGTCTGAGAAATGTACTTTGAATGTAGCTGTTATATACAGTAAATCAAACTGAATACCTTTTATTAACACAATAAAACATCAGTTGGTTAAAAAGTAATTAATACTCTGAGTAGTTTTTAAAAAGAGTGCTTTGTACTTTTACTTAAATATTTTTACAACACCAGTACTTTTACTTGTAATCGAGTACAGTATTTTTTGCTGTATAAGGCACAGTTTTTTGCATAATGTACATGCCCTGCAACGTAGACGCCAAAGCAACGTATTTATGGATTTTTCCCCCATATT